TATATTTAATATATTTTTAACTTATATTCTTAAAATATAAATTAAATAAATTTAATTAAAATAAGAAATTAAAATTTTAAAACAAGTAAAAGAGATCAAACATTGCCTAGAAAAGTGTAAAAGCAAGAGGAGTAAAAACTAAAAAAAATCAGAAGAAAATACAGCAAAAAAAAAAAGACAGGCTATAGGCCTGTCGGTTGTCTGGGCCTAGTCCAGCGTTTCGGTTTCTAAGCCCAGCAACTGTAAACTGCCCCACTGGGCCTCGGTTACAACCGAAACCCCGCCAAGCCCAACCGAATAAAAACCCGACCCGTAAGCTGCAAGTTCGGGTGGTTTTAGGCAGTTTTATCGGTTTCGGATCTCACAGCGGTACACATCATTTTTCTATTCTCCACTTTTTATGCGTTCTAATTTATTATTTTATTATTATTAATAATGTCATTAAAAATCCTTCAACGTTGTAAAATAAGTCATTGTCATCTTTCTCCTTTGAAACAAATCATAATAATCCCTCAACTTTTGAAGAAAGATAAAGTATCATCCTCCGTTGATGGACTTTATAACACTATTAGTACACCATTAAAGTCCTCTAAATTTTAATGGTAAATAACATTTTTGGTTCCTCATCTTTTAGTCACTATGCATTTTGATTCTTAAACTTCAAATTATTCAATCTGATCCCTAATTTTAACTTTTCTTATTACAATTTAATCCTAAACTTTTGAAAGAGTTTCACTTAAGTCTCAAAATTTTTAATGTCATGCATTACAAACCTTTTTGCTTAAATAGTACAAATTATGTAAAATTTAATAAAATTACTTTCAACTCATCCAAATTATTAATAAAATTAAAGCTAAATAAGTAAACTAAAATATATAAAATTTATTTAATCAAAGTGAAAAATCATATCTTTAATGCTCGACTTGAGATCCCAATAAATAAAAAAGGACACTTAGTTGGCTATATACATATAAACCATCACATCCAAAAAAAAAAAAAAAAAA